ATGTCATCCGGACCAGAGAGGACAAGGATAGCCCAAGTTGTTATCAATGCTCCGTTAAGAAGCCTGCTTCACTGATGGTATGGGGTTGCATGAGCACTTGTGGCATGGGCAGCTTGCATGTCTGGAAAGGCACCATTAATGCAGAGAACTATGTTCAGGTTCTAGAACAACATATGCTCCCATCTAGATGTCATCTCTTTCAGTGAAGACCCTGCATTTTTCACCACGATAATGCCAGACCACATTCTGCAGCAATCACAACATCATGGCTACGTAGGAGAAGGATCCGGGTACTGAAATGGCCAGCCTGCAGTCCAGATCTTTCACCTATAGAGAACATTTGGTGCATCATAAAGAGGAAGGTGCGACAAAGAAGGCCCAAGACGATTGAACAGTTAGAGGCCTGTATTAGACATGAATGGGAGAGCATTCCTATTTCTAAACTTGAGAAACTGGTCTCCTCTGTCCCCAGACGTCTGTTGAGATGTGCTGCAAGAAGAAGGGCGATGCCACACAGTGGTAAAAATGGACCTGTCCCAACTTTTTTGGGATTTGTTGATGCCATGAAATTTGGAAACAACAGATTTTTCCCTTATAATGATACATTCTCTCAGTTTAAACTTTTGATCTGTGATTTGTGTTCTATTCTGAATAAAATATTAGATGTTGGCACCTCCACATCATTGCATTCAGTTTTTATTCACTATTTGTTTAATGTCCCAACTTTTTTGGAATCCGGTTTGTATATATATAATTATTATATTTTAATATTATCATCATTATCATCATTACATTTATGTTTCTGTCATTTCAATCACCAATTTTATTGTGTTCACAGGTTATGCACTCTGAGACTCTCTGAGCCACCATTAACTTTGTTAATTGATTCTTGGTCATGCTGAGCAACACTGACTCTGTTGAGTGTGCTCACTGCACCTGTATGGCTGGCATAGCGGAGACCTGCACCCATGTAGGTGCCCTGCTTTTTAAAGTGGAAGCAACAGTGAGGATACGAGGCACAAAAACTGTTACAGATGAGCCAGCATACTGGATATTGCCTGGAAATCTGAGTAAGATTCACCCAGAAGTTGGCTATAAAATGGATTTCAGTACTGCAGCTCCTCAAAAGAAGATACTTGACCAAAAAAATCCAGATAAACGTCTCAACACCAGCCAGAAGAAGCCATCCACAAAAAAGAAAAATCCCACCATCAAATCAAGAAGATTTGGCACCTCTGCTTGACACAATACTAGAGCACAGTAAGGCTGGTGGTTTGTCAGGAATTAATGAATATTGCAAACTATTCAAATGCAATGAGCAGCCAAGTATCTTACCTCCATCTCTTACATCTCTGCACAACAAAAATATACAGTCGCATGACCGGTCAGCTATTTTGCTGTGCTGTGAAAACTACAAAGATGGTGCAATAGTTACTGAAGAGCAGACAGAAGCTTTTGAAAAGGGCACAAGACTACAGCATAACTTTTCCACCTGGTATGAATGTCGAGCTGGACGAATTACAGCTTCCAGTATGCATGCTGTATTTGCCACCAGTTTGGAAAGCCTTGCTCTGACAGTTATTAAACAGGTGTGTAACCCAGGCAACACGGTGTCTACATTACAAACAAAATGGGGTGTGAGTCATGAGGGTGATGCACAAAAGGCCTACATTAAAATCACTGCAAACAGGCACAAAAATCTAAAATTTCAAAGCATGTGGATTCATCATAAACACAAACTTCCCTGAACTTGGAGCATCTCCTGATGGACTCGCAATCTGTGATTGCTGTGGGAACGGCTGCCTAAAGATAAAGTGCCCTTACAGATACAGTATAGGATGAGCAGCATTCAGCAGGCTGTGGATGCAAATGACAAAAACTTTTTCCTCCAGCTATCTGGCAATCAACTACACCTGAAGAAAAACCATCCATATTATGCACAGGTACAAACGGACATTTTTGTAACAAAATCAAATCACTGCGAGCTTGTTGTGTGGACCCAGAAAGACATGGCTGTCATCCGTGTCTCTCCAGATCATGAATTCTGGGAACCACATCGTCAGAAAGCGCAAAGCTTCTTTAAAAATATTTGCCTTCCTGAGCTTGTAGGTAGATATTTCTCAGCGCATGCCGTTACTACAGCTTTCAGGAAGGCATAAATATGTAATTATATAACAGCATATGAATCATGCTGTTGGACTTGTATTTGCACATATTTTCTGTTTACAATATTGTTTACTATAATTTCATAAAATGTTTACATTAAATTATTTTCTATTTCATTACATTTTTTGTTCTTACCTAAAATATGTGAAATATATGAAATGTTTCCTAAAAATGTGATCTGTTTCATCAGGTCATCCTGAAATGTTTACTTTTAAATGCTCAATTACATAATTGTTTACT